AGGGGGTTCAAAGAAGCAAACTTTTTCACGAAACATTTCCATGGAAATTGCCCCAGCAATAAAAGGGCTATTAATTTGCTTCTCCAAAATGCCACCCACACGTTACGTGGTTAATTCGTCTCACAATCCCAAGACAGAGCAAAGGGATCGCCCTCCAAGCTTCTCGCTCCCCCAGCAAACATTTTGCCGTATTTCTACATTTCTGTGATACTACTCTTCCTCCCTTTCCAACAGCAATCCCTCCGCTCCCATACACACGTTTAAGCATTGACCACAGCCACTGCTCTTTGGAACTCGAGCCTGTTGGAGGGGGGAGCCTGGGAGGAGATGCATCCTCTTGACTTATTTATAACCTGACAGCAAACGGGGATGCGCAGTTCCCCAGCACGGAGCAGCAGCCGCCCTCAGGGACTCACTGAAACAAACCTTTTTCTCCACTTTTAACTGGATGAATGGAAAGGGTTGTCAGGTACTAGAACGGGCTGCCCAAGGAAGTGGTCGAGTCCCCATCCCTGGAGGTATTTAAAAGACGTGCAGACGAGGTGCTTAGGGACAGGGTTTAGTGGTGGGATGGCAGGGTTAGGTCAACAGTTGGACTTGATCATCTTAAAGGTCTTTTCCAACCTGAACAATTCTATGATTCTAAGATTTTTATTTTTATTTTTTTTTAAGCAATGGCTCAGTAAACTTCCACAAAACATTACCAGAGCAAGGAGTGCTGTTTAAAGATTAACACTTCTGCATAACATCTAGATGGGTATTAAGCAGCTGTTCACCCTCCAACAGACTGCGGCTAAAACCAAGTAACCCCAACATGATAAACTTGCTGTTCCCAACTACATACACTGCTCTTTCACTATCAGACAGCACTACCACAAGTGGGGAATAAACGTAAGTCAGACAAGATTCACTCTGGAAGAGCAAATTCCAGTGTCAGAGCTGAATTTCAAGCACTTGTATTTTAAAGAACATTGTGTTCAACACAGCAGATTTAGTATCTTATTTAGAAAACCCTACTCTTGCTCTTACAAGTTAAGTCACATCTTTATCATAGACTTAACTTTCACTAAATGCAAAAAGCCTAAAGATTAATTCTTAAAAATCAGAATGCCAGGGGATCAAACCCACTACTTATAAAGTGCCCAAGAGCCTTCCTAGCAGCAACACCAGAAAAATAAAAAGCAGGAGAAGCAGCGACAACCAAAATCCGAATCTCTTCCTATTAAAACACACTTGCCTACACAGAGAACAGAGCAAGCAGCTATGCTGACTGTTAGAAAGCTTGGGTGCTTTTGGAGGACACAGCTACCAGTGATAAATCCGTCGTCACCAGATCACCTGCGCCCTTGGTGACGAAGAAGAGTTCTCAGTCCCTAACGCAGAGTGAGATGTTACTGCAGAAAACTATCCCAGCCCAAGGCTAAAAAAACCTCAACAAGGTGTTACGACACCAAGCCCACCAAGGACTTCTGCTGCTCGCATTAGCCCAGCGCCCAAATACCTGGCGGAAAGGTAGCTCGGAGCCCGCACAGGGGCTGCTCTTCCTCACACGGCTGGAGATGCCGTGCTTTGAGAATCGCGAAGCAGCAGAGATCCCAACCTTGGCAGGAACAACCCCTCCACCCCAAACCCAGCTGTGCTTCGCACCCACAGCCGACTGGGACCTTGCTCTCCGGCGTTACCCGGCGGCACCCTTCCAACAAGGAGGAGCCTGCGGCCACGCAGGACAAGCTGCAGCTGGTGGAGGAGCTTGTGCCAGGGCAGGAGGCAGAGCCTCCTTCAGCTCAGCACCAGGACCCCCGGACCAGCCTTGCACCCCATCCTGGAGTGTGACCCTGGCGAGCACCGGCATCCCAGAGCAGTCGGCACGTTCCCTGGACCAGCATCATTCCTCCTCCACCATGGAACATCAAAAGCCGTGCAAGCGGGTGGTGAGGATCCATCGGCCTGAACAGGAGAGGAACACTGAGACCCGCCACAAGACGACTTAAAAACCAAATCAAAACCCTTGCGGAATTTCAAACCCCGAGATGAATCCATGTTGGAGGACAAAAAAAAAAAAAAATCATGATTGCCACATACCTCCCCCACCCCCAGGAAAATCCACCCCAGGAGCCGGGGATGAAGGCGAAGCTTTCTCCTAAGTTACTCATCACTCTGAATCACACCTCCCCGGGCACACCGCAGTTCAGAGCCGGCTCCGGGCTCATTGGAATTCGTTTCCGTACAGATCCTGAGAAGTCATCACGCAGTGCTTAGAACGAGAGCAAACACCAGCTTTGATTTGCGCCATCAACTTTATGAGCAACAGCTTAAGCCCCTTACGTCCTCATAAGGTATATTCTTCTTTTACGTATGATGAAGAAAATAAAGAGGGGTACAAATTTTGCCCCTTGCTACATTGCTAATCAATCACACAACCAGAAACTTAAAAAAACGTATTTTATCTCCTAACGGCTAAACAAGGATGCTTTCACCATCACCATTCCCCAACCCCC